ATTCTTAAACGTTTCCATTTGTTTTTGTACAGGGCTTAGTTTCCACCTTGTTATGGTTCCACATCTGCTGGTTTGATCATATACCAGTGAAACACAGTTTTAGAAACAGCTATAAAGAAGATTTAAATATGATTGGATAGATCAAGAATTAGAATATCCCATCATAATAAATATATAGGTTTAAAAGTTTTTATAGTTTATTGCAAATTGTGAAAGTATTTATGTGTTAAACTAGATCTGTCTGAAAGCTACAGAAATATTCATTAGTGAGAAGACATCATTTAATTTAAGGTAGTATAAGCTTATATAGCTTAGAGATGTGTTGAATTAGTAACAAAGAAAATTTTATTATAAGTGTAATACAGTAAAAAATTTACAACATTTGGAAAAGGTTTTGTCATCATCAAGTACAAGTAGCTTGCCTTGATACAGAAAAAAATATGTATACAGTATGAAACAAAAGTCACCTGATTGGAGATTGCTTAATGCATAGTAAAGGTATTTTGTTGATGTTTGGTTCTTTGTTTAAAGTTACAGTGTTTTTTAGTAGACATACTGTTTTTTTTTTGAGTAGCAACATTTGTAAATGAGAATTTTTTATTATGTTCACCAAATTAAATCAAATCATCATTAAATCAGAAATGCTTAGTTAAGTTTAATGAGTATGGTAGGTGACTGTAAAAGATTGAATATTATTTTTATGTTTATCCTATTCCAACAATGTACATAAAGAAATTAGCTGACTGGCTCTTTACGTATTTCTAATTGCAATCATGATACATTTTAAATAAAAACATTATTCCCCTAATTGGTGGTAGTAGAACATGTTTTTATTATTTATTTATCAATTCATTTGATTTACACATGATCAGTGAGGGATTACTACACATTTTAACAACAAATAAAATGATGACCATGTTAGGTCTGTACTAAACATTACAATTTGTAAAGTAGGAAATTAGTATACTTGGAAAAATTTGTGCCTCATGTTTTGGCCTAGAAAAAAACGATTTGTTTCCGGTTACCCAACTGCCCCTATGTAAAAATGCCAGACCCTAAAGTTTTTTCACCCCCCCCCCCACCCACCACCACCACCACCATCACCATCTTGGTGGCTAGAATATTAGCTGTCATCTTTAACAAATATCCATGTTTCCCAAAAAAAGACAGTGTCACAGTTTACTGGAACAGTCAAAGATGTGTTCGAGTCATACCATCCTAAATTAGATTTGAATGATTATGAGCAGACATCAACACATGTTGATCTGGGTGAAGTTTTAGTGGACCTAAGATGTTTGAACCCTTCTTTGAAAAACTTAAAGAAGTAGTTGAAAAAACAAATGCTGATAATGATAGATGCCACAGTGTATTTCATCTGTCAGGATGGATGCCACTGGAAGATTTAAGGACCCAAGCTGCAGCACAGTACCCGGTGGATACTCCAAAACCATCAACCAGTCTTTTAAGACTTCAGTTTGTACCAAGAAATCCATGTGTTCACTTGTCACTGAGGTTCACATCACGTATAAATGTGCACTATGAAATACAGAGGTGACAGTTCCATTTTGCACATCCTGATGACTACTTTTGTGCTGCACATCTCTTGTTATCTCAGAGAGAAGGCTGTAGAGCAGTGCAGGGAGGTGATGTTGTTCTGCTGTGATGATAAACCCAAAATTCCAATTGGAGAGTCATAACCCCCAATTTCAACAGGTGTTCGTGGTGAAAAGGGTATTGTTCCTGTTGCAACAACACTAAGTGCTCTTGACCATGACATGACCAAGGCCTTTCCTCACCCCATCTGTCATTCTACAGTGTGACATACCTGAATCTGCTGATAAATCTTTTTGTCTGAGGAACAGTAACAATACGTGTAAATGACTCTATCTTTCAGACATCCAATCCATTTTGCCATGCTTTGATGTTGGTCAAAGTGGTTCAAAGAGCAGAAAGTAACCCATGTGTGATAATGAAATTCACAGGTGGTGGTTCTGGCTAGCAGAATACTTTAGAGGCTATCAACTGTGGTAGTATCTGTATATTTAACAAACTAAATCTTGATATGTTTATTCTTGGAAGGTGTGCACCTAGGCACAGCTACACTAATCCTGCAAAGAGGGTTATGTCTGTACTGAATTTGGGCATCCAGAACTGTGCTCTTGAAAGATGAGAACTTGACCAGGAGGCAGAGGCAAACATCAAGTGTAGGAGTATGGCTAAAATCAGAGCAGCTGCGCTGACAAACCCTCACTTGAAACAACAATGGTAAGCACCTGTTCAGTCTATAGTGGACAGTCAATTCAAGTAACTGAAATTAAAAGATGAACCAATTCAATCCATTGACCTGTTAGTTGAGAAAGATATAGATAATCTGAATGATCACCTCAGAAACGCTGTTCCTCGATTTGTGAAAAAAGTCCACACAAGCAAAATGAAATCATACACAAGTTGGATTGTAAAGTACTGCTGAGTCTGCCATTACAGTTTCCAAATATTAAAATATGAAGATGAAACCTGCTGTACATCACCACATCTCAGTAGGTCAAAACTGATGTGGCTGCCAGATTCGGTCCTAGATAGTACTGGTGAGCACTACCAGAAGTAACAAGCTGTTATAACAGAAGAGCAGGATAGGCACTCACAACAGAAACTCAAACCTACTTAAATTAAAAGAAAAAAGCAGCCAAGTGATGTTCAACATGATGCTCAATAACAAGTAAAGCCTATAATAGTTGGACAGAAGGAAAATATGCCTAATATGGAGCAAGAGGTCCCATCAACTTCCAAACACTAGACAGATAAGAACAGCACATTAAAATCACCTCCACCTAACGATATTGCCAATAGTGTTTTGTACACAGCAAAAAATGATAGAATTTCAGACTAGTGCATAGAATGTAGAAAACCACGTGCAATATACTGTAAAAAAAAAAAAGAAACTCTCAGAAAAACACAGGATTGCATTAACTTTATCACTGAGTGAACATGAATACACCTGTGGATCTTCTCTAATCCCACCCACTGATTCACTTTTCAAAAGTGTTGCAGTGCTCTTAGTTATGCAACACCCGTTGAAGTAGTATATTGCAGCAGTAATATTGGGAGACTGGACAAATGTGCACACTGTGGAATTGAAGAATCTGTTGTGGACCAGGACTTCCAATTTGTGCCACATGCGTAAGTGTACGAAAAGAGTCTACTGTGTATTGACCATATGGTCATAAACAGTAGGTTATTTTCCAAGAGGTTCTGAAGTCCATACGAATGTGATGTGTGCTCACATATCAAGTATCCCAATACCAGCTTTGAACATTAACTGTTGAGACTTTTGAAAATCTCAATAAACTCAGATTATTAAATACCTCATACTGCAACAGTATTCCAGTCTGTATTTTATTTTGTTTGTGGTAGCTATCTATTTTTGTTTTTTTCATGTTTGTTCGAAAAAAGTTTCAACAATGTTGAGATAAATTTCAAAAATGAATCATGGGCTAACCTAACAAATTGTGCCATCAAAAATGTCAAAATCATTTTGTCAGATTTATACTGTGTTTCATATGTTCAGAACACATTCCATATCATGAAAGTATGTATAACATTTTTTGGTCAGTAGTAACCATGTGTCACAATGTGAGGACAATGTCAAAATGTACTATGTATATTACTTCATATCTGTACTCTATAGTAGCTGAGAAATGCAACCATACACTTAGTTAATCCAAAATGCACAACCTTGAGTTCTGTACAAAACTTTCTTGTAGTGTTCTGTAGTGGCCATATGTCTAAGTAATATTTTTTCTGATAGTGCTTAGTACAATCTGATATATTACAATTGCATTTATATCATAAAATAAGTATCTGCATTAAAAAATACTCTGCCTATCTACCCCATTTTTGATGATGTAATGAAAATGTAAAAAAATGCCTATCTACCTACCCTATTTTTTTAGGATATAATAGGAAACAAAGCATTTTTTTAGCCCTTAGCCAAAAATATGTTTTCACAAAATGGGCAAATGGTGACATCTATCATATGAAATGAAGGTTAATTCAACTAGGTGAAAATAGAATAATGCATTTCTTCACAAATTTTTGAAGTTTGTGTACCCATGGTTTTTGCTTGAATGGGAATGCATACCATGTTTTTAGGAACGCTGTACAAATTGATTAACCAAATGTAATCGGTTAATAATCCTGTCGATTAATCAATTAATACCACTAATCGCCGAGCTTGACATATGATGTATAAAGCTTATGAAACCTGGTTACTCTAAACTGTATTCTGACCTCAGTGTGAGTGCTTATGTAAAGTTCCTCATCATATTGTTTTTTAGTAGTGAGAGAGCTTATGTTATGATAGTATATAAGTTAGAAATCATAGTCATATAGTGTTTTTTTGTAGTCATATTTGGTTGATTGTTAAGCTTTTTAAATGTCGTGTCCACAGAGCACTATTGCTAGTTTTTGCATATTTACTTATTAAGTTGAGTATGTTATACACTGAATTCTGTGTTGTTTATAAAGGCAACAGTCACCTTTTGGTTAGTGTCTAAGATAACACAGATACCAGTTTAATTGTTTGTAATTTGTTTTGTCAAATGTATTCCAGATATAATTCTTGACATCTAGTTCTTCATTAAACTAACAGTGGATCTGAGATCAATAAATTGTTATAGCCATTCTCTTTCTTTTTTTTGTTATAAAACTTGGTTAGATGACATTACAAGTGCATTACACAAACTTAGGTTAGTTGTTTTTCATTTCAAATGCTTTGATATCAAGAGTCTTGTTTTTTTACAGAGTAGTGTTATGAAATGTGTATCAGTTAAGACTTGGTGAATACATGGACTAACTATTTATATAATTGTTCTGTGAAGACAGTCAAAGTTGTATTCTTACAAATCTCATTCTTTTGTTGTTGGTAATCTCATTACTTGGTCACTTTTTTAAATACATAAAACTCCAGTGTCTGATATTCCTTTTTTCTTTATTCTGTATAGTTCCTGCCTAACTCTAATGATGGGACAATTGCCAGTGGGGCAGGAGACCACAAGATTCATACTTATGATGTTAATGCTAAGGAGACCACAATGGTTTGTAGTTGTCACTCAGGGCGTGTTAAAAGATTAGCAGTGGCTCCTAATGTTCCTTTCATGTTCTGGAGTGCAGCTGAAGATGGACTGATCATGTAAGTTATTTCATAAAAAGTAAATGAAAATGGAGAATTAGATGAGTTAATGTTTAGTGGGGAAAGTGCCAGTTATTGTGTTGTTTATGTGGATATTTTGTTTAGCTAAGATTTACTTTTTTTATAGAATTTTTCATTACCAACTTTGAACAGGAGCAAAAGTTATTCTGAAGATGTAAAAATTGAGAGCTGGTATGATTCATACCATCAACTCTGATAACAAGGTTGATGCTTTAGCCAATTAAAAGACTGTATTCCAAATGCTGCAAATCTCAGAATTTGTTGGTTATTAACTCTCTCACTGTGGGCTTGACTGAATCAGTCAAGTTCATGACCCCATATTGACCTTTATAATTTCCATACTACAACTTCTAATATGTTTTGTGTATCTTCACAAAATTTTGCAAGCTATCAGTAACCATTAAGACTTCTTTGTAGACAAAAAAAAAATCAGAATTTTTAATGAAGTATTTTCACTAAAAATTTCTTAAATATATGGAGTCAGAAGTGTAAAGTGATTTTCATGTTAAGATTAAAAATACCTTTTCTTCATTTGAAAAATCTCAAATTTCCTTTATTTAGTCTCTAAAACCTCCTAAATAGATTTCAAATGTTTTTTCAGTAAAACTTTATATATTATCTGTTATTTTCTCTACCATAAATATATGAGGTTGGTTAATTTGACTGACCTTGTAACTAGCAAAAAAAAAAATCTAAATTATCCTTTTTTCTTTCTAGAATGATTTAAAATTGTAACAAAAAACTACATTTGTTTACCCTAAGTAGCTTTAAACTCATAACAATATACATCTGTTTTACTGCTCTTTGAATCGTGTCTAAATAATATTCCTGCCACACTACTTGTAAATCACTTGGCAAATATGTAGCTTACATTACCTATTGAATTACATAATGCACAGGCAACTTGTGAGTTGCTCACAAGCATACCTTTTGAAAAATTTGTATTATTATTATTTATTTTACCTTATCTAACCTAAACAGTTTCAAATATAGAATACACATGAAAAACAAGAAATATAGTACTTACTACTGCAATAAATAATTTATTTAATTGAATAATGCACAAAAAAAAACAACAGAATATTAACATGCAAAAAGCAGACAATGTCCTATAACTATCACAATGTTTTTGGTTTTTTAACTATGAAACAAGAGCCATTAAAAATTCAGCTAAGCTCGTTGATGCATTTCCTGTGGGAATCAAGCTTGAACTGAAAACAAAATAGACAATTCTCTGTACATAAAACAACATAATATAATACATTCTTTAATAGAATAAAACCTTGGCTTTCTATTGTTAATAAATAATATAATATTAAATATCATGAGAACTATTGACATTTTGTGAAAGAGAGGATGTGACAGGTGGGTCTGGCAAGAGTGGTCTGATTTTGTAGTTTATAGCTCTGCATGTGCAGAAAAAATGCCCACAGTGAGAGGGTTATGGATATAATTTTACAGAATTCTCAAATTACACCAATCATCCTGTAAAGAAGTAAAGGATTAAACTATAGTTCATGAATATATGAAGCAGCTTTACTGAAGGTTTATACCCTGTCCACTAAGTAAAGTAAAGGAAACAGCATAGCATAGGTATTGACTTAGAACAGGTAGAGGTATATCCACTAAATAAGTGAAGTACATGAGTGTTAGGATAGGTAATGGAGGTGAAAAACAGATTCACTAAATAATAATATATCCATTTCAGTATGTGGAGTAAAGATGTGAATGACAGTTATAGGGTTGTAGTATTTGCACAAGGTATTGCTTCGGTGGATGCAGCCAGATGCTTTTTTTTTTCCATGACCATATGTCACAGCCACTGAAACATCCAAACAGCTTTGCGACTGGAACAATTTATGGCCATGTCCATTTTATTTGTTGAGAATAGTGTCCAAAAATTTCGAGTTCTGGAATGCATTATACTTGGTCACAGGCACTGATGAAAGTTAGGTGCTGATGTGGACCACCTATGTATTTTCAGTATAGTCCTTGAATGGAAGTATGTTAGTAAAGACACTATTAATTTCAGTAATGTTATCATAAGTAGGGATTGGTAATGTTTCAAGGCAGGTATTAATAACTTAGCTAGTTCACTCTGGAGGGAGCATTTTTCAACTAATCATTAGAAATTTGCCAGGATCTTCAAAAGCTGTAGTAATTTCCTTCATTATCCAACAAGGTTATTTTTTTAAATGACAATAAATTTCATTAACATATGAAGTTGTGCAATATGAAAAACATTTTAACCCAATGTTTTGAATACTTGTGAAAGAATACAAGAAAAAGGTTTACTGCAGAGTTTCATTCCATTTAGTAAGTGAAGTAAAAGACTGAAGAATATTTAATGAAGATTTTAAATAGGTTCTCTGCAGGATTATTTAATAAGTGGAGTAAAGATTTGAAACATAGTTGATGTCTGAAACTGGTTTAGTGTAAGATTAAATTTTAATTAGCTCTAATTAGTAAAAACTTGAAACAGGTTCATTGGAGGAGTATAAGCACTTTGAATAATAAGTGGATTAACCCTAATAATAAAAGAACACAATATCGTGTACATCAATTAGTGAAAGAAAAACAGAGTAAACGGAATGAAGTCAGAAGTCTGATATCAGCTAATAGATATATTTTGTTCAGAGTATTGTTTATATAATAACTATGAAATTATCTTTTGATAATTGTTAAATTAATATTCACTGTTTTAGTTTCTTTATTAGAACAGGGACTACATTAAAAAAAAAACTTGTTTTTCTTTTGCAGGCAGTATGATCTTCGAACACCACATCAGTGCTCCAGTGTGTGTAATAGTGTTTTAATTAACCTGCTCAATCATGCAGGTAGAAATGCAGAGGCAAAATGTCTGGCAATCAACCCTCTTCGTCCAGAACTTCTTGCTGTTGGGGCAAATGATCCCTTTGTTCGGCTGTATGATAGGCGAATGATTTCACCAACGACAATTAACGTATGAACCTTTTTTGTAGCTATTTATTAATAACTTCCAGTCACAATTGAATACTTAATTACATATTGAATGATTTTATGTTATCTTCATGTGCACATTTTATTCCCTTAATACACAGCTTATTACTCAGTACTGATACACCAGATACAGTTAATCATGCTATAAATTGTGCAAAGATTGCTTCTGTTATTAAATATTTTCACACGTATCATGAATGTTTTATAAAGGAATCAAATGTGTTTTTATGAATGTTTGTCTTAGACATCCCTTAGAATAATCAAACTTTCATCACCTATACACTGCATTATTGTAAATCCTTAACAAGTTTTTCAGTTTATGTATTCATAAAAGTTTACAAAATTAGGTGGTGTATATTATTACACATACTTTTATAAGAGTTCCATCAAAGTTATTATGTATGAAAATATGACTGATTGTAATGAAATACGTTTTATAAATTCTACTATCTGCTAGTTTGATGAACTCATGCAATCAATTGAAAGGTGGCTAAATGTGAGCATTATCTTTGTTTCTAAGATATTAAAGTATTATTATGTTCTTTTTTTTTCTTGTGTTTATTTTTTCTACTGATAATAGAAGTTTGGTGACATACTTCTAGAAAATGTAGTTACATGTAGGGTTTTTGATTAATAGATTTTAAGAATATTACATAAATCTTGACCGAGATGAGAACTTACTCCAAAAGCTATATGTTAGTGGGGATAAATTGGTTACAAGTGTTGAGTATCCTTTTACCAAGTGTCACAGAGTGATAAATGGATTTTTATTTCACCAACAACATATCAAACATCTATTTTTATATTGAAACTGAACTGTTTCCTGTGTGAAAGTTAAACTTTTAAAGTCTTTTCATCATATGACTTGAATTAGAAAGCTATTTATTTACTATCTCTTTTTTTTTCATTAGTATTATTATGTAGTAAAAACAGTAAAAATTATGCGTGCCAGAATTATTATTTCTGATTTACAAAATACAATTATTTCAACTTATTTTGTTGTATTATCCTCTTGATATTTATTTCTTATCATAGGAATGACATTGTTATTATTCTGACTTGATTTATCTTCTAGTATCCACCTGATCATTCAACACGTTCACCATGGGAACGGCATAATTACATATCAGCTCATTCAGAGACTGAAGAAGACAACCTTCCACCTGGTTGTGCTACATATTTCGTGGCAGGTGAGGTATTTGTTTTTTGGAGATACTTAAACTTGCTAAGCTTCTGGAACCATCTTAATAATTCATAGTTTCAAGGGAATGAACCTTCACTGCAAGTTATATGTAAGTTTAATGTTTTAATGCTTATTCATTGTCATCTGACTTGTGTATCATAAGTTGATGAAAATTTTGTACTGACCTTAATGTATCTAGTGTGGCATCACTAGAAAAGCTGTCTGACATGGAAAATTTATCTTAACCAGTTTACAGAATTTTAAGTTTTTTAAATTATATGTCAGAATAACTTGTAATAATAATAATTAACTGAAAATTATTAACATAAATTCCACTTTTTTAAACACCTAGCATTAAATTCTGTGAATGTAGTTATTTTTAATTGTACTAGAACATTCTGATTTAGAGATAACCTAGTCATTTAGTGCATGTGTGATACAGTTTAAAGCATGGTATCAAAAATTTTATACAAAGTTGTAGTCTATGACAGCACTCAGAAATCTTGACAATGCTAATGAAAACGTTTGTTGTTTTTTTGTGTGATCTAGTAAAATATATATAGGAGTTATCTTCATTCATTGACTCACTTTCTGAGACACAGTTTTCAGAATAAAAGGTTTTTTTTTTTTGCATACAGAAATATAATTTGATGAAATAAAGCATCAAATAATAACATTATTGACCAAACTTTTCACGTAACTAGAGACGAGCAATGAATGTGAGTATAAAAAAAAATTCTAACTGTTAAAACTATTGACAGAAACACACAAGTCATAGATATATTTATTGTCAGTGCATAGCAATAATTTCACAGCTATTTTGAAATGAAATTTGTTTATTTTGTTTGGTAGGTCACCTTCCACTCAAACAGACAGACTATAGAAAACGGTACAGGAACTTAGCATCAACGTTCCTTTCATTCAGTCCTGATGGCAGTGAACTTTTAGCTAATCTTGGAGGAGAACAAATCTATCTTTTTAATGTTGTTAAGCCTCAAAAACCTAAAACATTTGACCTGCAGGGTTTTTCCATTCCAGCTTATGGAGTTTGTAAAGGTACGAAAAGATAATTTCATTTAACGTTTCAATATAGTATTTTTTTGTTTCAAAGACTTAGATATACTGTCATTTTAAGATATTTAAACCCTTTGGTATAAAAGGACAGTTTAAAATAGATCCACTATATTGATTAAAATACTGGAAAGGAAGATTGACAAAATTAGAAAGATGCATTAAAAATCATTAGGACATATGTCACCTTGTTTCAAAGTTTTTCATATTTTTGCTGTGGAATACACATTACATAGTGTGCATACTTACAAATTTTCAAAACATTGGATGTTTTAAGATAAAAGAAAGATTAGGTCAGTTATAAAAAATTCAGAAACCAGTAAACCAAAAATTTAAAACTGTATTCACTAATTGCTTAGAAATAATTTTTTCTCTGTTTACTTTTATTCATGTGATTAGCAAAACATTTATTAAAAATAATCAATAAAAGCTAATTTTTTGGGCAATTTTTTCAGAAAGGTCAATCTTAGTTACTGATTTAGAAAATTTCATGCAGTACATACCCATGGAAAATTTTCATTTTCAAAGAAATTCCAGGAACAACTGATTACTGGTAGAAAAATTTCTAAAAAACTGTTAGTAGATTCTGAAAATCTTAAATCATAACAACACAAAACTGTACGAAACTTATCTTTATTTATAAACTTACAGTTGGGACAAGTATCAATTGTTTTTACAATTGCTTAGTATTTGATTACAGATAACTGGAATATGACAAAGATATTGTGAAGGCTATTTTAAAATTGGAAAAACTTTTGCCAGTTAAATAATGCCTAAATGCTAAAAACAGTATTCTGTATTTTAGCTTCTAACCTATGATTTATGTATATAAAAGTTACTTACAGGTAAGTCATTTGGTACTTTGTTTTATGAGTTTTTTTATAAATAAAATGAATATTTTTTATCAATAAAACTAAATTACCCCTTTTGACTTCAAATTGTAACATGAAACTACATTTGTTTATCCTAAATAGCCTTATACTCATAACAGTATACATCTGTTTATTCTTAAATTTTATTGTATTATTGCCCTTTCAACTGTGGCTAAATTAATATTTCTGTTATTAGACTTGTAAATCAATTGGTGAATGTGGAACTCATGTTACATAATTTTCTAGGTTATTTGCGAGCTGTTCAAAAGTATATCTTGTGAAAATTTTTATTATTATTATTCCCTATTTTACATAATCTAACCTTAATAGTTACTGATTTTTAGATTGTTGTTAATTTTATAATAATAAATAAAAGAATACATGGGAAAAACAAGAAGCAAAGTACTTACCTAAGTCTTTTTGTTTTTTTACTGTCAGTTATTAGTGAAACTTAATTCTACTTTTTTATATTGATGGTACTACTGCATTAATTAATTTTTTATTTAATTAAATAATGCATCAAAGAACACAAAATAATAACACGCAAAAAGCAGATCACGTCTTATAACTATCACAATTTTTCTGGTTTTCTATTTATGCAACAAGAGCCATTAAAAATTCAGCTAAGCTCAATGATGTGTTTCCCATGGGAATGATGTTTGAGCTGAAAGTGAAATAGACAATTCTTTGTACAAAAAATAATATAGTATGTCATTTGATAGATGAAAATAATATAGTATTAAATGTCAGAGAGAACGATTGTCAATTTGTGAAAGAGAGGATGTGACAAGTGGGTGTGGCAAGAGGGGTCTGATTTTCTAGTTTATGGTTCTGTAACTAAATAAGATTGAAGACCAGAGGTATGACAACATTATAATGAATAAACTATATCGAATTTCATGCTTCTTAGTGGGGTGGTAAATAAATTAGAGAAGATGGAAGATCTAGAGAACAAATGTCACAATTCTTACACTATGGGAGGTTGAGGATTTTTAAAAACATTTTTCCTTATAAAATTAAGAACTTAAAACTTATGTAATATTAAGATTTGATTTATTGACTATGTTTTGATTCCAAGCTTATTCGTATATCATGATAACAAAGTACTTTTAATTAAATTTTGAATATTGCTCAGTAAAACCTCATGACGTGCACAAAAATGCTCATAGTGAGAGAGTTAAATGTTGACAAGATATGAATGCCAATCATATTCTAAGGTTGCATGCTGTTCACTACTACTGCTGCTGTAAATGCTCTGTTTAGATTTTCAGTAATTCATTTCATTACTGATAGCACATGTTGGCACTGATGGAAAGAGACAAATTATATATTTAACATTGTATAGTTTTATCATTCTATTCTTGTGAATACATTAATAAATAGTACATACTGACATTAGCAAAAAGAGATGACACTATATATATTTGGTAGTTCTATGAAGTGTCAAATAATTTACATTTGAAAATGAATCAGAAACTAAAACAGCATTAAAACTTGTAAGTATTTAAGTTAAAAGTTTTTTAATTTGTTTACTATGCTGTAAATATTTGTTGAGAACATCTTACAAAGGAGTTAGAATCAGTATTCCTACAATTCCTATTTTGATATTTCTCAGACACTTGCTTCTCCAGTAATGGATACAGCACTTATCTTAATGGCACCACCAATGGCTTGACAGCTAGCAGAGTTATACCTGATGCAGGCCACTTGTTCAGTAGTTCAACTGAGTTTTCAGGCAATTTGTTACGTGACAACAGGTAAAGCTAAATTGTTATTGATATATTGATCTTTGTAAGTTTCTGTAGAGTTTTAATGAAACTATTTACATTGAATTGGCCATGCTTTAACAAATCCAAAACCAGGAAAACATATTACAACCAAAAAGGGTACAGCACTTTTGGAAAAGTAGTAATCAGTAATACTGTTTTTGATATTTTACTTTTAACTGGATTAGTACAAGTGTTTAACTGTTGAGGGGTTGATAGAAATTTCCATTTGCCATGTGAAAGTTGTATAAACAAAGAAATATATAAGAATAGGTAAAAAAAGGTATTCTGATATGATACATTACCTCTTCTCACATAAATAGCTATTCTCATTCTGTGCTGCCCTCTATATGCAAAAAAATGGGCATGCCACAAGCCTTGAAACTCCCACTCATTTGGAATTGACAAAATCCAATGTATCTTGCATGCAAATTATCATGCAACAACCCTCTGCCAATAAAAGCTCAACACACTCTCTTGATGCATGTGACTCCCGCTATTCAATTCTACCAAACTATCACTTCTCATTTGGCAGTACTCGTGTTATAACATTTAGTTTGTGCTCTCTTCAAGTGTTTTGTTTTAATTTTTTTCCGTATCTGTGTTAATTTCTCTCAAAAAGTTCACTCTTTATTATACAATTGTGATATTTGTAACTTGTTGAGTTATTCCAAAGTGGAATTATTTTATAATCCTATCTGATTACGGAACTTATTACTTCATAATAAAAACGTTTTATTTGTTTCTGCCAACACATTTGCATTTGATTATTCATTTTGCTTTTTAAATGTATGTTACCACTATGAAGGTTATATGTTCTACTAGTACATTTACACAGGCTTCAGGTCACGGTACTCTGTGGGAAGATTTTTGGCTTTACTTCATCGGGAGATTGTTTGTCCAGTGAACTGACTTTTGTTGGGCCTTGCCTCGAGTGTAAAGATAAGATGCTCTACTGTTATGGTTTTTGAATAATTTTATTGTTAATATTATTATTATTTGTAGTTATTTGGGTTCCATAATATACGTTTAGCAATTAGTCTTAGTTGTATCTTTTCTCCTATACCATTTGCTTAGGCTTACCATGGTCTTTGTTATTTTTGGATTATCTTTAATTCATCTTACTGGTATATCAATCATTAGTTTAACTATATTGTTTTTTTCTTCCATACATCATGTCTCAAAAATATGTTATTGTTACTACTCACTTCTCTAATTTATACAGTCACGTCTTTTATCCTTCTTCATATTCATTTGGTTTGAGCAGAACCCTAGAGATGAGGTTCACACAAACTTCTCCCAGTATTGTACATACTCATTGTTTGGTTAAGTTTTTATTTTAGTGCTTAGTGATATCCTTTGTTTGTTACTGTTCAATTAGGCTTCAAAAGTGTTTGTTATTTTCAGTTTAACTAGTTCTACTTCCGGGTTAGTCGATAATTAGGTTAAATATCTTGTTCAATTAGGCTTAATAAGTGTGTGTTATTTTAGATTTACCCATGGTTCTGTTTACAGGTTAATCAATACTTAGGTTAAATGTCTTTTCTTCAACACATAACATCACATACATACATTTATTTCACAATATAATTTCTTTATTTTTCCACTATGTCAACTATTTAATTTTCATCTTTCTTTTAGTTTATACTTCTTACTGTTGATTTTGTTTAATTTATAATTTACACTTCTTACCATTGATTTGTTTGTGAGGGCCCCTGGGGGGGCTGGGGTCTACCCTACCTGCTCCAAATGTTGTTCACCTTCCTCCTGTAATGGCTGAAACCAATTTACAATGACCTAGATTTTGTCAGTTTTCCTCCCCTTTCCCCACTTTTTGATTTTTTCCCTTCCTCCCTTTGATTGACCTTTTATTCCTTGTCTCCTTCTTCCCATTATCACTTCCTGGTGTCTTCACTCTGATCTTGCACATTCCCTTTTCCCTGCATGTCTACCCTGACATTCATTGGAGGTACTTAGTATGTTGAGCACTGGGTCTATATCTCTTAAGTTCATCTCTAATTCTTTGCTTTGGGCTACTGTTACTTCCTTGTCGGAGTACCGTCATCCACCTGTTTTTTTTTGTTTTTTATTAACCCACCCTCATAGAGGGGGGTATAAACAAAAATACATCAATAATTCAATTCATTCACCTGTTGCCATCTATCACTCTTTCATGAGACTGACTGGATAAGTTATCTTTTAGTATATATAACTTCTTTTTCAGTGACGTGTCACTCGTTTTCTTTCTGGATCCTGCTCTGTGGCAAGTAGTGCCTGACCAAGTATTCTTTAACCGTTCAAATTCGCACTGTAAAACCATGTTGACTTACATATGATTCCATGACCACACAATGCACACTGCAGAGATGGGGTGTTCCACAAGATTGCATGTAGGTTTATCCTTGTGATATGTTTGCTTCATTAGTTTGCCTGTCATGGACCGTACTCACCCATGGACTTCCTGGGTAAAGCAGAAGGGGATAGCTGCCCATCCCTGCCATGTCTTATATTGAATAAATTAGTATGGTCTGCTTTTCAGAAGAGGGTTTCATGGTCAACAATTGCACTGTCTCAGGTGTTGTCATTCCTCTGGACTCTACATCATGCTTTGACCATTTTTTCTTCTAGTGGAATTTGAGAGTCCTTACCATTTTCCATTTTGAAGCTGCTGGAATGGTAGACCGTGGAGGCATCCTCTTGAATGTGCTAATGAAATACAAATAACATATATAAATGATTATAAAAACCATTCAGTTGAGAGTAGGGCAGTGATGTTCTGCTAGTGTAGATGAAGAGATGTCCTCCATTATGTAACATGGGAGTGAGCTGTCAAAATTGCAGTTCACCCCTTTGATTGAGATTCCTCATCTTACACCCATATGGATGTTGGTTTCCAGTGGCTGGGTTTTGGATTTACAGTTGATCCAATCAACATAAGTCCTCATACATATATTACAGATGTCACTATTCCCTCACTCATTTCTACTCTTGTTACTCCATCCATATAGTGGGTCATGGCGGAAGTACTTGCAGATTACTACAGTTTTGCCCCTTCCGCTAATCCTCGATTATTATTATCCTGAGGATGTTCCTGCACTTGGGACAGTTCCTGTCATTATATAGTTGAGTGAGATGGTTTACATTACACAGACATCTTTTTAATGCCAGATGTTGTCTTCCCAGACCGATCATGTGCCCGTTCATAGGTCAAGGGGTACAAGATTCCCTCTGGTCTCATGAACTTAAGGTGAAGACAGTATGATCCTCTTTCCTACCACCACCAGGTGGCTGGGTTTTGGATTGTAGTTGGCTTACCAACGGTATGATCCTCATCCTACCCTCACGTGGATGTCAGTCCCATTGGTATGGATTTTGGATATAGTTGACTTGTTGACTACAGTCCATCATGCCTCAGTCACTCTACACCTAGAGGCACATTCTTTAATCTTACCCACTTTTATATTTACTGGGATTGAGTTTAATAAATAAATTGTGGTTCAGAACACTATCCTGCCATAGTTCTCTCCCATTCGGATGTGCTCCTCCATCTTTCTGCCTATATATGCGATATCCTTCCACAAAAGTATACCTGGTTCAGAAGTGGTGTACTCTCACACTTGGAAGATCTACTTTTAGGGTGTGTCCTTCAGACACTTTTGAAGGATGCTTCTTTCTTTCTCTCGCACTGGTCCCTCCACCTATTGAGTGTGTGATTCTAGCTAGTTATGTAAGCGGAGGTAATGTACTGTATCAGAAGTTTTAATTTGCCTATACTGAAAATGTATTTCCGATAAGTACTTAGCTCCTCTCACACTTCCCACCCTTCCTCCCCACTGAAACCTGGTGCTTTCATTTTCTTTTAACATTTGAAGTGATAGTTCAGTAGAATTGAATAGAGGGAGTCACATGTCAAGAGAGTTTCACGCTCTTATTGGTGGAGGGTTGTTGCATGCGAAACACATTGGAATTAGTTAATTGCAGATGGGTGGAAATTTCAAAGCTTGTGGCACGTGAACAAAAAAATGTGGCATTCAGCACTGAACAAGAATAGCTATTTGAGTGAGTGTAGGTAAGTACCTCTCTGAAATACATTTTCAGTATAGGAAAATTATAACTTCTATAGACAGAAAGTAGAAATGACTTGCTGCAATCACTGAACAGTAACATGTGACTCACTGAAAGCTATTCAGCCACCCCTAGTGAAGAGATGTGTATAAATATTAATATTGATTTAAGTTACATGTTCACTAGTGTTACTGAGCTTTCAGTGAAGCTTACTAAATGAAAAGAGGTAAAGTTGGACTGTTTCTTTTTCTTTTCTTTTCATCTGAGTTACCTGATCTTTTGTACTGTTGAATTTTTTATGTAACTTACTTAATGGAAAGAGATAGGGTTAAATTATTACTGATCTAAATTACCCGATCACTTCAGCTGCTGAGTTTTAATGTACATCAGTTATCTAAGAGTTACAGATGAGCTCATTTAATATTGATATATTATTTACTCAACACTACTGCTAAGTTTTTATGTAGTTATCTGTGACAGTACATAAGACTGAACTGGTATGGAAGCACAACACCAGTGTATTCTTGTATGTAATAGACTGTAAGGCTGAATTGCTATTAATGAAAATTTTTGTTTTTCACTAGGTTTGCTTGATTTCAAGTAATATTTCACCACTGTGCTATTGGATGCAAGTTACTTGTTCACTAGTACTGCTAAGTTTTTATGTAGTTTATTATAAAATTCTTAAACAAAATGTATATAGATAGCTTACTAGTATTGGAAAAATTGGAACAAGCTTACAATTTGTGAAGTATATTGGTGAGTTTTGCTATCAACATTCTTTCTTTCTCACATCCACAGTTGCTGCTCATTCTCAGCTCAACTAACTGTCACAGAGTTATCAGTTGTGACATCATTATATTTTGTATACCTGCTGCACAATATTTAAAAATTCCAAAGGTTTATCAAGATAATATTCTTTTCATATGAGTAGATAACTGCTTATTGGTGGTGTTTATATATTCCTTTACACAATAAACATAACTAAATTTTATAAATAATAAATGACTGCATATTCTTAGGATGAAAACCCTAGTAATTTCATATCACAACTGATTTAGACATGCACATATCTACTTTGTATTTGCAGATAGATTCTGACTATGACTTAAATTAACCTCTGTTTACTATATTGTGATCTTTGTCCTATGAATAGTAACAGAAGTATTAGCGGTTTCTTAATATTCATATCATATTATAAGACTTTATGGGAGGACAGTTAGTTCAATATTTCAGTGATAATACCATTGATTAAGCTTCTTTTTTAATACTATATTGTGACTATTGTCCTATACATAGTGGTAGTATTACTATTGGTTTGTTAATAGGCACATCACTCCTCAAGACTTTAGGATGGGTAGTTTATTCAACATTTCACTGATTTTATAATCAATAAAGCTGGCATTTAATTCATTATATTTTCAAAAAAGTGTTTATTCAAGTTGTTTTACCAGGAATAACAATTTGCTATACTGTAAACAGGATTTACAAGAACTTTCACCAGGTTAACTCTAAATGCTATAGAAACAAAACTATAAAAATCATTATGTAACCCTCAAAAAGTAGGTTTATGATTGAAGTTACCTTCTTGAAGGTTACCTTTTGATTAATGTAAGTTACTGAGTTTCATCTCCTTATCTAGATTGTAATGGGTAAGATTAAATTCTTTTTGACCTAGATTATCTGTTATATAGTGCTGATGAGCTTTCATACAGTTTTTTGTATATAAAATGTAAATCTGAACCTTCAGCTAAACTCTTACTAATGTAAATCATTTGACCAGTTGTTTTATTGACTGCAGGAGGGGAGGTTTGAGGAGGGGTGAAATGACCACCCCAATATTCTTAAAAAGTAGCGTACAACTCAGCATTTCATTACCGTGTGGTAAACAAAGTCCCTCTTTATTTTTGCTCTCTTCAGATTTGTATTCTTTTGCTTTTAAAAGTTCCATTTAGTCTAAGGCTCCACTAAATTTTCGGAAGAATACCCCCACCCCAACTCTTGTGGTGTCTGAAAACTGTCAAATTTTACTGCTCCATAACTAGAGTAGGATATATTTTTATTATGGTATATTTTAGTAAATTTGTTCAAAACCTTTTCATGTAGGCAGACTACTTCAGTGTTCATTCAAGAGAGACTGTACTTTCATGGCTAAGTTTCTGTATAACATCTTTCCTTGGTGTGGATTATACCCATTTTCGGGGTTGTTACAGATTTTCATACAGGGTTGTATGACAAAAATCATTGACAGGGGTAATCTAGGATTGTGGAATACCACATCAGGGCATTGGTCTGACCAAAAATGTAGTATTAAACACAAACATTTCAGTTTTTACTGCTATTTAAACTTGTTTTACACTCCAACAGCCAGAGAGTGCCAAAGTAACATTAGAGCTGATCAGCAGTCAAATAGACTTGTACAGCAATCATGAGTTAATGTGAGTCATAATATAAATTGTTATGTGACCAATAAAGATTAGTTTGTTGTGCAATTAATAAAAATTGCTTTGTGTCGACTTAAAATTAGGTTTATTTTTTATTTCTTAGTGTCCGTCTTTGTTTTATTCTTTACAAACAGTGTTGCAGTCTTATAACTTACCTTTTTGATTATTATATTACTTCTGAATACCACAACTACCTGAAGAGAGATAGGGCTGAAGTTTGTTTTTTTGAGTTGGGTTACTTGTTTTCTAGTGCTGCTATAATTTTACATAGTTTTCTACATTGTAAAAGGTGGGGCAAAGCTCGTACTGATATACATTATATTTTTACTAGTGCTGCTAAGTTTTCATGTAGTTTACTACATGATAAGAGATTTGGCAGAATTCTTATTGACATATGTCATTTGTTCACTCATGCTTAAGAGTTTTTGTATAATTAATTTCATAAAAAGAGGTAGGGTGAAAGTTCTATTGACATAAATTACTTATTCACTAAAACTGTTGGGTTTTCATGTATCATGAGCCCACCAGTGGCACAGCGGTATGTCTGCGGACTTACAACGCTAGAATCCGGGTTTCGATACCCGTGGTGGGCAGAGCACAGATAGCCCATTGTGTAGCTTTGTGCTTAATTAAAAATAAACATGTATCATGAACCATGATAGTGGATCGTAATAGGGATTGCAAGGAAACAAGAATTACCAGCCAGTAACAGATGAACATTAAGTGACTGTAAGATGTAGATCTCAATGCTTTGTACACTGTACAATCAGTGTCTTTATAGAGCCAACCTTATATTATGTATGAAGTAAAAACCATATCAGCTAGCTACTAGCTATGTTTATTATCATTACAATGTATAAAGTGAGCTACCATATCAGGTAATATTTTACCCGTAGTTGAGCATATAAAAAGCCATCAAGCATGATAAATAAAAAAATTGGTAATTTAAAAACCTGCAAATAGGGATTCTAAAAGAAATAAGGAAACAAGGTTGGAGATATTTTGGCTCGATCAGTTTTCATTGCTCAGCATATTGTATTAATTTTTTTGTAATATCAAAATATTAATTAAAAGTCACTGCTTTGATTATTACTATGTTTGAAACACAAACTATTGTTTTTTATTGTCAGATGGTATGCTCTCAAATAAAATCAATTACGTAAAAGTGATACACCATAAAAGTAATCTGTAAGCTAACAACTACTCATTCTTGCTATTGCAAATGTAAGTCCTCTGTACTATTAATATTCTAATTTACCTTGTCTTCTATGTTACCATCCCCAGATTATTGCTATTAACTCTTAATGCAAACCTCAAAAAAGTAGAATTCACAGAAAATTAAAGCTGAGAGTAACATTTCTTATTTTTGGAATTTGTCTTCTTAAATTTGATTTCAAAAGTAAGTTGTGGAATTATAACACTAGAAACCAGATTTCGATACCCATGGTAGGCACAACACAGATAGCCCATTGTGTAGCTTTGTACTTAACTACAAACAAAGACAAAAGCAAAGGTAGGTGTCATGTTTTATGATTGTAATGAGAAGTAGAACATCTTTCTTGTTACAGTAAATATCATAGACATCTCTCAGCAAAAGCGGAAGCCATAAAGGCTAAAGCCAATGAAAAGTTTGACAAACAGCAATATCCTGTAGCTATTCATCTATACAATGAAGCTATTTACCTTCATCCTGAAGCCTCAATCTTATATGGAAACCGAGCAGCTGCTTTCATGAAAAGGGGCTGGTAAGTTTATAATTAAAATTCCACTGTACTTGTCAGTGTGGTTATTAATCTGTATGCAGGGACAGTACAGCATGTGGGTAGAGTGATCATCATAGTGAACACACAAAAAATTAAAAATTTATCCAATTATAGTAAATTGCAAAGTCTTCATCTATTGTATAACTTACAAATCATAGGGGATTTTGGAAAATTGATTATTATTTGATACTAGGGGCCAAATATACCCCCTAGAACCATCTCTGTTTGTATGCACACAGTGTTGATGTTAAAGTGATACCATTGTGTAAGCCCTTGAAATTGTCTTTTATTTTAATTAAAACTTGAAAAGTATACATGACTCCCAAAATTTTTGGAAAAGTTCTTGAAAATGGTTATTTCTAGTAAAAGTAAGCAATTGATGAATGACTGAACATCCACTTCCCCCTATGAAAACAATTTTTTTCAGTGACAAGCACAGTCAAGGAATCACACACACAATGCATGAAATTAAAGCAGTTATTAGCACTTCAATATTTTAACTAGAGAAACATATAAAAACTTGAAATAATTACAAATGAATGATAAAAAATGAAAGTATGCACAAAGATGAAAATGAGAAGAAACCCAATTTTTAGATACATACGGATCATAGGTAAGAAAAAAGAGAACATAAAGAAGTCTAGTGTTTTATAAAAATAAAGAGTATCATAAAATTGAAAAAAATATACACGATAAAGGAGTATGCTTACATCAAAGATTCTTTGTCATACTGTCAAAATATATTTTACTAATTTTTATGGTGTAAGTACCTTTTGCTGGTGAAGCATGATTATAATCAATTATGTATGTCATAACACAGTACTGTTGGGCTTATTGTATTTTCAAAAACAGCATTATTTTTTCAGTTCCATTATCTTGTTAGTTGTGTCACAACTAGCCTGATGACCTTTGGTATTGAGCAAAATAGGTTTTCAGAAATGGATCTGTCAAACATGGTGTGGTTGAAATACCATTACAATTTTCTTCTCAGAAAATCCCTATTAAACCCAATTAAATAATGTAGTGTTCAAAAATACCCTAAGTGTAATACTATTGCTTTATGACAAATATGATTATATTTTGTTGATTTTTGTGTTAATAGATATTTACTATTAAATTCTGTAATGTAGTCTTTTCTTTTCAAGGTAAAATTTTAACCACATTTATAGAAAAGTCACATATGTTCATTTTCTGATAAATACAAAATTGCTTTGTGAACAAAATTCAAGTGACAGTGTTGTGTTGATAGTAATACATAATTATTAAATTTTTTAGAAAATACTGATCTTTTGTTTGAAATGGGAAGGAAAGTGTTCCTTACTGATTATTATCTTTGTATTACTAAATTATTATCATATTTGTTTTATAAAGTTTGTTTTATTCAGTTTACCATATTTGATTTACAAAATGTGTGTTTCTAAGTTATTATCACCATTGTATTATAATTAGTAAATTATTATTATCTTTGTTCTATGTTCTTCAAGGGATGGAGATTTATATGCAGCTCTTCGAGACTGTCATACAGCTTTGAAACTAGATCCAGAATATTTTAAAGCTCATTTTCGTCTTGCCAGATGTTTATACGAGTTACACTGGACAAGGGAAGCATTAGATTGCTTACAAGTAAGTTTTTGTATTTCCAATATGTTTTAAAGTAACACCATTATGGCAGATGTTTATTTACATTACACTGTAGAAGGGAAGTATTTGATTGTTTACAGATTTTCAATATATTTTAAACTCTCAACTCCACCATAGCAAATGTTTTTATAAATTGCATTTGATGAAGGAAGCCAGAGACTGTTTAGAGGTTAGTTTATTATGTATTTACATTAAAATTCATAGATGTTTATGTGAATTACACAGGATGAAGGTAATATTTTACTGTTTATGGCTTAATATTATATACTTTCAGTATTTTATACCCTAACTCCATCTTGGCAGATGCTTATATGAATTACAGTTGACAAAGGAAGCAAGAAACTGTTTGTCAAAACAAATTTTTGAAGGTTGTAGATTCAAATCAATTAGTCTTATATTTGAAGTACTAAAAGCTTTTCTTTGATGAGTTTTCTCTCATGCTGTCCAGTTATGTGAATTTCCTGCTATAATCCAAATTTTCTTATTCACAATTGTGCTGTTATCTTTTCTCACTTTGAACTTAGAAATCAATTTTCCTTTAATATATTAGCCCATCATGCTGTTTTACAAAGCACTCAGCCCCCTAAACTTTTCGGCTGAACTTGAAATAATTTCCTCCATGCATCATTTGTTTTTGCATAATTTTCTTCTGCACTAGTCTCCCATTCAGAAAAGCATTCCAGCAGAAACTGATTAGGATTTTAGCATTTCAACCTACTTCTGTTAGTTATTCTTTTTCAAGATGACCAAGTAATATTTGTTCTCCTGCCTTGCCTTCTTTTCCTGCTTCTCAGTTAACATCGGTAATTTATACTCATTCCTTTTGATCCTACTCAGTGGCCAATTGTAAACATAACCAAGGTAGTTTTCTTGGTCCACTTGGTGATTTTCTTCCTGTTCCAGACAGATCTCCCATCTGGACTGTGGAGGGACTTATCTCAAATCATTGATTCATCTGTGGGACTTTTGGACTTAGACAGATTTTTCAATTAGGTTTTAATGTCTTTTGCTTCCAATCCAGTTGCTTACAAGTTTTGGATCAGGAAGTCTCAAATCTCCTGCAGTAAGGAATAGTCGAAGTCACTCATTACAATTCTCTAGATTTTTCTCTTATCTCTTTGTGGTTCCAAAGAAATAAGGAGATTGTAAACATGTCATAGGCCTATTTGAACTCATCTTTTCCTGGTGAAACCTCATTTTAAAATGGAAAATGTGAGTTTGTTATGAAAGTTTTTTTGTCATTGCTATGGAGGATATATAGGAAGCTTATTTTTGCCATGAAAAGGTAGTTTATCAGTTCACTGCCCTTTTCTCCAGCTTTACTTTGGTTTCATATGTATTCTGTTGAGTCTGATTTATTTGTTGATCTTTGAACTTTCATTCAACATATACATTTTTACTTTTACTTGGATGATTGGCTTATTCTGACTCTTTTGTTAACTATTTTTTACACATACTCAGTTGATTGTCTTGCTGGTTACATTTTGGGTATGATGATCCACATCTTCAATTCACATTTAATATCAGTACAGTATTTGGTACATTTGGGAGTTTGGAACAACACAGTCCAAGGTACATTTCAGCCATCTCCTGTGGCATTGCAAGCCTTAGAGTGTCTTGTACACACTCTTATGTCTTCCACAACTGCAGCCAAAATCATCTTTTCTGCTTTGGGGACAATGACTCCATTTCACATAGCCACTTGCTCGATGCCTTCTCATATGCAACACCTCCAGTGTCATAATGATGTCTGACTTCAGACTCATTGTCATGCAGCACACATTTTTCTTCCATCACTCTTGAGTTATGATTGAACAGAGACTTTATACAACAGCAAGGTCTCCTTTTATTTCTTGCCCTATAGACTTTCATCTTTATGCAGATGCCTTCCTTTTAGGTTGAAGTGCTGTATTGAGGAATCATCATCATTCTAGTTCTTAGACTCCTTAGGAAGCAACAGCTCACATCAACATGTTAGAACTTTGGGCTGTTCAGCAAGTTTAGAGTAGTACTTGTTTTTCACTTTTTGCTTTACTTCACTTCCTTGGCTTCAATCTAAAAATTATTCACATTTGAACCTGTCACATTCCTAGTGCAATAAACATTTTTCAAACTCTCTTTCTCTAGTTCATCAGTTTCTCCCCACAGAGTGGTGATTGCACCTTTTTTTTTTCAGTGCCCATGTGAATGGAGATTTCTTTTGATATTAATGTCTTTGCTGCATCAGTCAACCATCTTTTTCACTCTGCTGGTCTCTGGTTCCAGTCCAAATTCTCTGGCAGTGAGCACTCTGGCTCAGTCTTGGGAGAACCTCTTCCTTTATGCCTACTTTCATTTCCATCTTTATCCTTTAGTACTTGCAAAGATCAGTTACTTGAAGTTCATGGTTCTTCTCATCAGTCCACTTTGACCTGCTCAAACATGGTTTCCCTTGTTACATTGACTTTTTCAGAGGAAACCAGTCCAATAACCAACATTGAATATCTTCAAATACAATATTATCAAATGTCTATTTTTTTTCCAACATCAATGTTCGATGTCTGTGGCTTTGTAGCTAGCTGTTGTTCAGTTTTTTATATGAAAAGCATGATTCTCTTACTAAATGGCTCAAATATTAGCACATTGTTGCCAGTGTTCTTCCTTGGCTGTCTATCAGTCTCATTGGTGATTTAGACATAATATATCTTGCTTATTTTTAACTCCTCACAAACTGCTTCTTTCCTTATGTTTCTTTCATGGTCATGCCTTATCACTTTCTTCCATAGCTGATTACAGAGTTGTCTTATCTGCCATATTCAGATGCCATGGAAGCCATCAATCTCTTTTGTTCCCATGTTCAAAGACTTCTGAGCATTTCTTCTTCAATGACCCTAAGTCCTAGACATTTTCTTAAATAGGATTTGGGTTTGGTATTATGTTTGTAGCTTCACCCCCGTATGAACCCTTTGTTCTAAAAAAAATATTTTATTTTTTTCATTAGGCTGTAGACATTCTGGTATCTATGCCTTCATTGCTTCATGTACATTGTTTTCATGGAAGGCCTTAGACTTATATTCAGATTGTGCTTTTTTACCTAAAACTTTAGCTGCAAGAAAATGTAACCACTGTTTCTTGCCTATTGTGTTACCTGCCCTGATTGGTACTGGAGGATTCAAAAAACACATTCTATGTTCTTTTAAGGCTATTCATGATTATCTCATAAAGATAACTTCAAGGAATTCAGAAATTGTTTGATTTCAGAAAAATCTTGGTCTGTCCTCTATAATACAACATGCTTGTGTTTGAATGGATTTGTCCAGTTGGAACTGTTACACGTTACATATATCTGAAATTGTTTTAAAGAAATTTCACTTTTTGCACTGGTGCTGCTGCTCTCTTGAAGTAGACAAAGGGTGCCAGTTGGAGACTTATGATGGCTTGGTGGTTACCTTTCCTACCTCTGCATGATCATCCATGCATAAGCATTCAAAACATTGGAGACAGGATGCTCATTTTACATATGATGTCTCTTAGTCCAACCAGGAATTCGAACACCTTATGGTGTTATTTTTACCTTTATTTAGCTTTATATTGTGTTCCCACTGCACTGCTCAAAAGTTGCTCAACCCACTTTCATGTCTGCCTGGATCTTTTCGATTCCCCTTGGGTGCCCACTTACTAAACAGGTTTAATGAATTTGGCTGGCATTTTCAGATGATGATTAAGGAGCTTTAATAACAAGAGCATGTTCTGCATTTATTTATTACTGGTCCCCTTTCTCTGAGAATCTTCCACTACAGGCACAAGACAATGCATTGCTTTCTGACCTCGTATACCTTTTACACCACTACCTGAGAATATACATGACTCCACAGATACAAACATTCTGTCTAACCCTTCTTATATGTTATTTAAAGAGTGTCTTGGACAATGAGGTGCCATATTGAGAAGGAGGCTTCTTTTTCTCATTGTTTTATTAGTGGGCTAGTCTACTTCACACGGTTTTTTCATGATTCCATTCCATTGACTTTTGGCTGATCAGATCTCTCATTTTTTTGTGGTCTAAGCTGTTACCTTCCTGTCTAATAGCCACGTTTCTGGAGAAATAATGGTTCTTATGACTCTCCAATTCTCTTTTCCATCTCACTGTGGGTATATTTCAGAAGTAAGTGTACTTAATTTGAATTTTACATGTTTAGGATTGAAATTAATTGCAAACAGGTGCTAACCTCTGAAATACATTCCCACCCACTTCCCTACAACTGGGAGATATGTGGTTTTCTATCACAACTTCAACAAAGAAATTGGGATTTTTTTTTGGGGGGGGGAGCATTCTCTTGATGCATGTGCAATAAGTCATGTTGGAGAGTAGAGAACTCTGGAAAAGTTAATGCATCCTCTACATTGCATTAAGGACTTTCAGAACCTAAAGTCACATGACTGTTGACAGCATGGGAGAAAATTTAACAAGAGAAGGTTTTTAATATTTCCAAGATAAAAACCCATTTGAATTCTAAAAGTGTAAGTTATTAAGAATAACATTCCTTAAAAACAGTACAATTTTAAACCTATCTGAAAGCTTTCAGTTTATATGATTTTCTTTGAAATACAAACTCTATTACAAAATATGTCAGGAATTTTAGTTTTAGTAGGAGATGGCCATATATAAGTCATTGTGATTCTTATCACATTTTGAAAGGAGCTTGCAACATAATTGGAATAATGCTTGTACATGAAAAATCAAACATACACAAGTCCAAGTGACTTTCATGACATTTTTTTAAGCATACCATACCAAACATCTCAAGAATGATGCTAAGTGGAGGATTAAACTTACATACACTCATTTTTAATATATTTCTAAAATTCCCAATCTCAACATTCTACTGTGCCCATAGTAGTAGTTCCGTACAGTGTTTCTCACACCTCCAAATTTGTAGTCATGATCCAGTCAATGAATGCCTAACCCACTTCATGGATTGTACCATATCCCCCCCAGGACCGCAGTGACCGGACAGTGCAACACGAGATGGTCTGTGTCTTGTGGGGATTCCTAACATGTTAGGCATGTAGGGGATTCACAAAAACCCAATCGATGCAGGTTGGCCGCTGTTCTGCCTTGGCCTGACCTCAGCCTGTTTGCCTGTGTTCATTGCATTCTGGTTAGGTGATAGAAACCGGGCAGTGGCTCAGTGGGGTCCCATGAGCATATTCAGTTTACATATTTTCCAAAGGAACCGCACCAAACAGTTTGTGAATGAAGCTGGTTCATGGAAATATGACATGTACATGATTTGCATATTACATTTCTAAAGGAAGCATTCAAAACAGCTCAAAAGTGAGTCTGGTAGAAGGTAAATCAGACATATATATTTCCTTATGATCCTCATTACAGTTCTAAAGGAAGCATGCAAATAAATGCAAGAATAATGGTGTACTTGGAAATCAGACAATGATGAGAATATGGAAACTTGAAAAATAAAACATTCTAGATAGTTTGCACAGTCTGTTGAGCTATACAGATTATACTTTACGTACACTTTCTTGACACTATTTCATTCATGCTTTACAAGCTTGTGTGCTTGTTGTGCAACTTTCTGTGTGTGATTGTGTGGTACAACTTGTTTTAGTATTCCATATATGTTTGTTTATTGTAACCTAGCACATGTTGATAGTTTGTTTATTTTTGGAATTTTGTGCAAACTATATGAGGGCTATCTGTACTAGCCATCCTTAATTTAGATGTGATAGACTATAGGAAAGATGGCTACTCAACACCATCAACTCTTGGGTTACTCTTTTACCAATGACTAGTGCGATTGACCATCACCTTATAATGCCCCCACTGCTGAAAGGGCAAGCGTGTTCAGTTATATGGAGTTGAACTTGCAACCTGCAGATCGTGAGTCGAGCTTTATATTCTTCAGGCCATATAGATAGTTACATTAAGTTTGAAATTTGTAACAGATTTCCTTACTTGCCATCCAGTATTAATATTGTTTCAAATGTTGCATTATTGATAGTTTATGAACCATGGCATTTTAATAGATGGGTTATATTTGAGGTAAATCAATATGCATCATATGTACACCATTTTTTTGTTTTTTGATTGGTATTTTGCTTTTCGTGTTTAATTACAATTACAGTACATTCAGAATGAGTCCTCACTAAATATCAGATTTAGTCACTTTGCCTTCAATTTACCTCTCAGATTATTCACGAGTTAATCAAACTTTGACCATTTTTAGGTTTTCAAAAACAAATTCCCTGGCCATGCTCAGAGTCATGCTTGTGTAGCTTTAGACCGAGATATCAAAGCTGCTATATCCTCTTCTTCAGAAACTGGTGAGTTTGTAGTATTAAAAAGATATCTAAAGAAAATTGTTGGAAACATTTTTTTTTGCTTCTATAAGTGAGCAATACAAATATAGTTAGTGTAGAAAGTGTAATGAATTTGAGTTTTTTGATGGTTCAATGTTAACTTTTGAAACTAATTTTTATTTTATTTAATAGTCAAAAGATATTCAATCAGTAATATTCTTATACATGTAATCCCAAGGGATATAACTGTTTAAAAGAACTCATTAAGCATTTCCTAATATTTTCTGGGTTAAAAATTACAAATCAGTACGGTATAGCAAATGAATTTGTATTGTACAAATTTGTAATGAACATGTTAAGTATTTTATATTAGAGAAGGTATATATTTATTTTTGTCTACTTTTTAAACTTCTTTTTTCGTAATCCTTCTTTTTTATAGAAAACAATTCACAAAATGTATTCTAAACCCAAACTGTTTTGTATGTCCCATCAAAACAACAATAAAAATTTGAATATTGTAACAGTTGGTAAATGTAACTTTAAATGATACAATATATTACATAAATCACATAAATAAAAACTTGTATTTCAAATTCTGTTTATTTTTGAATTACATGTGTTGTTTAAAGTCTTCAGATTGTCACTGTTATTTTCACAAAGTTTTGCTTATAGTTTTTCAGCTATTCTTTGCAAGGTAGCTACTAAGAAGTGTTGCTTTCAGTTCATCAAATATTCAACAGGATTAGTTTGGAAAAGTAGTGTTTCATTTTGTGAGCTACTCCTCAAAGGGTCATGGTTGAAAAGTGTTGATTTTAGACTGTCAGATCTCCTTACAAGTTCAGTTTTATATTCTATATAGGAGCAATTAAGAAAGTGTTGCTTTAAGTCTCTTAAATAATGATGTGTTCAAATATAATTTGTCAGATATCCTATACAAGTGTTAGAAAGTCAGTGTTGCAAAGTGTTGCTTTCAGTTTATTTGATATTCTCCACAGTATCAGCGTTCAGAAGTATTACATACAGTTTATCTGATATTCTCCATTGTGTAAGTGTTCAGAAATGTTACATACAGTTTATCTGATATTCTCCATTGTGTAAGTGTTCAGAAGTGTTACAGTTTATTTGATATTCACCATTGTGTCAGTTGAAACTGGGGAGAAAAGATTACATTTGTATCAATGCTGGTAATACTTTGAATACAATACCATCTCTGTACCAAAAGCTAAGATATGATTGTACGTATAGTGTGTCAAATTTCTTCTGTATCAATTTTTAGAATAATGTTGCTTATGTTTTCTCAAGTATCCTTTGGATCAATATCAAAAGTAGTGTATCTTAGAAATATTAGGCATTTTTACATGTTTAGTGCTAAAAGTATTGGTTTTGGAGTTTTTGAGATAATTTTCACAGATTGTCATTTAACCCTATTGCTACAAGTAGGTGAAAGTGTGCATGTCATGGCTTTTTAGAGAGTTACATTCAAAATTTAATTACACTACTTTATTATCATTGTATACAAATAAGTTTGGCATCAAAATGTAGTTAATAAATGAAATTTTAATATTATTTAAGTTTTAAGTTCTTAATTTTATGAGGAAATATTTAAAAAAAACAATATCCCCTAATATGACAATTGTTCTCCAGATCTTCTCTAATTTATTTACCAGCTCTGAAAAGTATGGAATTTTATCTAAATTACTCATTACAATATAGATATTGCTAAGGCAAAGCATAATTTTTATAGCCTTCAATCTTATTTGTTTCTGAAGCCATAAACTCAAAAAATCAGACCCACTTGCCATGCCCACCGATTACATCCTCTCTTTTACAAATTGCCAGTAGGGTCTTTTTGACATTTTATTCTATATTATTTATAACCAATAGAAAGCCAAAGCTTTAATCCATCAAATGACATATTGTGTATTATCTACTTTACCTACAGTTTGAAAATTTCTCTCATAGTATTTTTCTTACAAGCTTAGCTAAATTTTTAAAGGCTCTTATCGCATAGTTAGAAAGCCAGATAAATTATGATAGTTATAGGACATTGTTTGCTTTATACATGTTATTATTCTGTTTTTTTAGATGTATTATTTAATTAAATAAAAATTATTTAATGTACTAATACCAGGGTTGGGGCAAATACCGGAGATCAGTAATCGAATAAAGGAATAATGCTAAGCAGTCGAATACAAATATATAGGAATGTATTCATGAATACTTTGCTCAAAGGGGGCAGAATTTTTTTTTTCATGGATCTAGAGGGTTACTTTCATCAGGAAAGGACCATTGAGGTAGGTGTTGATCTCTATATTCGCTGAAGATGGCTGGTTTCTTAAAGACAGCAAAGAAACTAAAGAGTTTACTTTTTTTGCAAGGGGGATTTATAGTCCTCTTTTGGTTCCATGGTTGTAGGATTATTTGTTGAGGAAATTTTCTTGACTTCTTGCTGCAGGAGCATTCGATTGGATTCATAGACTATAAGTCTAGTGAAATACCAGTCAAGTTTAAATCTGGGATCCATTGCCACAGCCAAGCAGAAGACACTTCATTGCTCATACTGAGTCAGCCGGGCATTAACAGATTTCTTCAGTGCAGAGACAAGATTGAAATTATATCTGGACTGTCAATCTCAGTCATCAGCCCATAAACACATGGCACTACATAACTGAAGGTAACGATGTTCTGATTTTGGGTGAAATCTGTTGCCTCTTCAAAAGATGTCAGTATTTCACCAAATCTCAGGCACAGTTTAATCATGAAAAGTAAGTTTTGCTGTACCAGTATCTTAATTTCTGGATTCCATCATGTTGGTGTTACTGATGGAACTCTGCCCTCTCCCTCAAGTAGATCAGTTGCTTGCATTGATTTTTTGAATGTAGGATGCAGTGGCTGATGCTTTGGAAATTACTTTCAGCAGTGGTCCAGCTTTTTTTCATGCTATCCATGACCACAAGCTGCAGCATGTGGGAAAAGCTGGGGTCATGTTCAGGCAGAAATTTTAATACATTGTTAGCTGATTTAAATTCATCTGAAAGTTCATCTTCTGAGTCACTATATATAGATGAGCTATCACCATCTCTCACACTAGGTAGTGTTTGTGGTTCAAATCCAGGCAAGCAGAAAGCCTTGATCATGTTGTTGGTTGTATTATCAGATATCACATATGAGACCTTGTTGTTGATGTTAAAGAGATTTATTATTTCATCATATAGAACTGCACTGTTATCAGATGTGTGATGCCCTTTGAAATGCCAACATGCCAGCATAACCGTTTGCATTTTCCAGTCAAGTATAAAATGACCATTGACTCCAAGAAAGCTGTGCATTTGTCTGATACTCCAGATGTCCACAGCAACATTGATTTATGGTACAAGTTGCAGTAGACAGATGACTTTTTATTGGACTTCATCAAACTTGTGGACAGATGCTTGCAACTGGGAATAATATACCAAGAATCTATGGCTGCCATCTTGAAAATATTTTGACTCCAGCACTGAGAAGGGTTGCAGTGTACCGGCAATAAAATTGATGAGTTTGTTAGTGACATGCTTCTGACAAGGGTGTGTAGACTTATATTTAGTTGATTCTGTACAGTATGCTGCTGCACTTGGGCGAAAGTACCAGAGCCAGATGTAGACTTCTGTAGCTTTGCCTCATGATTATGCTAGAAATACAAATATGTATCTCAGTTATATAATATAGTTTATAATAAATGATAAATTTAGTTCAAAACATGAGAAATATTGTTTAACTATAGAATATAGTTTATAATAAAAATAATAAAAACATTTAATACTGAATAAATGAAAATAATAAAAAATATAGTTTAACACGCATGAGAAATTTAGTTTACCTATATTATATTTTATAATTTAAATAGAATATAGTTCATATTAACAAAATTATAGAAAGGCTTACCTTTGGATGTGTCAGCAGGTTTTTCCTAAAATAGAAATAGGCTGCTCACAGTATTTACATTTTGCCTTGATGTGACAAGATCTAGCAGTAGGAAGTATGAAGCATTCATTTGCCACTGAAGGCAGTTTAGTAGCCAACTCAAATCCTCTTGGTTGGATTAATAACCATGTAATACAATAACTTTTAATGAGGTTGGAGAATATTTACATGATTTAACCCTCTTGCCATGGGCATCCTTTACTGCACATGTCAAAATGTTTTTAGTAATTTATATTCAAAATTTAATTTAACTACTTTTTATTCATGTTATACCAATTAGTATAACATACAATCATAGCTAATAATCCATATTTTAATAGTATATAAGTTTTAAGTTCTTAATTTCATAAGGCAATGTTAAAAAAAATCCTGAATTCCCCTAGTATGATAGATGTGACTTTTTTTCTAGACATCCCCTCTTCTCTAGTTTATTTACCACCCTTCCAGGAAGTATGAAATTTAAAGTAAATTACTCATTATAATGTTGTCATCTCTCAGGTAAAGCATAATTTTCATAGCCTTCAATTTTGTTTGGTTACATAGCCATCAAACAGAAAATCAGAACCCTCTTGCCACAACTACCTGTCACATCCTCTTTTTCAGGATTTGTCAATACTTCTCTCCCACATTTAATACTATATTATTTTTAACCAATCGAAAGTGATGTATCATATTATGTTATTTTCTATACAGAAAAGTATTAATTGCTCTTTCAGTACACACTTCGTTCCCACGGGGAACTTTCTCATGGGGACGAAGCTTGTACTGAAAGAGAAGTTAATGTGCTGTGGATGTAATAAAGACAGTCTAGAAATTTGATGAGTACAAAAGTTGACATTTACTTTTACATCATCAACTGTTCACTAAATCATTCAGTGAATACGAATACTATGCCATTGAATTCAAATACGAATATTTTAATTTTCCCTACCAAAGTATTTGAATACAAGTATGAATACTCCCAAAGTTGTATTCAAATGCAATCAAATAGTAGGCTTAACTTTCATCAATAGTCAACAGCAAAAAAAAAAATGAGGACACAGATAAGTACCATATTTCTTGTTTTCCTTGTATATTTTTTTTCGTTATTATTATGATAGTAACTAAAATGTAAAAATTAGAAACTTATTAGGTAAGATAATGAAAAATAATAATAATTGTTCATGAGATATGCTTGTGAGCAGCTTGTGCATTATGTCATTAAATACAGTAACTAGCTATGTGTTCTCTGAGTGATTTACAATTTGTATGGTGGGATTATTAATTATACACAGGTCAAAAGGCAATATAACAAAATTTAAGTATAAACAGATGTATAATGTTATGAACTTTTAAGTTATTTAGGATAAAGAACTGTAGTTTTCTGTTACAATTTTCAGTCATTCTTGGATGAAAAAAGGGTAATTTAGATTTTTCTTTTTAGTGATTATGAGGTTAGTCAAGTTGACTAAATGTGTATAGATTTAGAGTAAAGAAAATAACAGATAAAATATATAAATTTGATATTTATTTAGAAGATTTTAATAATTATGCCAATGAAATTTAACAATTTTCAGATGAAGAAAAGTATTTTTAATTTTAACATGAAAATAGTTTTGCATTCAGAGCAGCCAACACAGACTCCAGATCTTCACAGACAATTATTAGTAAAAATATCAAATTAAAAAACCTAATTTTTTGTGTACAAAAACTTGTAATGTTTATTGAAAGCTTGCCAAAGTTATAGTATGGAAACTCTGGTGGTCACAAGGTCAGTGAAATCTATCGAGCCCATAGAAAGAAGGTTAAATAGTATCACAACTTAAATTTGAAAAGTGGTTAATCTACCATATTTATTGGGGCTAGTATCTGGCACCATTCCACAAATCTGTGCCCTTTGTTTTCCCCCAAATCAAAAGTAAAAGTTTCCCTAACATGCAGATTTTTTTACCCTCTATTATTAGCAAAAAAATTAACTCCAGTTACCATATCTAAACTTTATTAGTAATTCCCACCAACTGTCATCTGTTGTCTCTTGGAATTTTCTGTAATTGTGTTAGCTAGTAAAAATATTGGTCTAAAGTTCAAATTTCTGAAAATGGGCCAGAAAGCAAGCAGACGAAAACATTATACAGAAATACAGTACCATATTAAAATTTATAAAACTGGCTATCTTCAGGATGTATACACCAGTAAGCACTGAACATTATGGAATCAGTTTTAAATGTGTTTTATGGTTAAAAAAAACTTACTTACATCTACTTTTGTATAGTACAGGGATTCTTGAGTCTACATGTATGTTATTTGCTCACTGAATATCATAGGTCTATACATCAAACTTGGATGGAAATTCTGCCTCATAAGTCGAAAAATCAAATGGTAGTTAACTTACCACTGATTGAGATGTAGATCACATTTTATTTCTTGAAGTTTAGCAATAACTGAACTCATTAAACATTCTCTAATGTACGAATAGTTGTGACAGACCCATAATATGTTTGAAATGTATAATAATAATAATAACTATTATTATTTATAATAGTAATAGTATAGTCAATAATTAATGGTTTTTTTACTGTTCAGTATATTATTAGCAATCAAATTTTTTCTTAAAATTGTTTGTATCTGCAGTTAGTGGTGACAGTAAGGGAGGGCTAGCTGAGGCTGAAGCTACCCCAAAATCTGCCTATCTTCCCTGTAGTCCCTGCAACCAATAAAAATTTATTACTGTTAAATTTGATTCACTTCCTCAATTTCACATTATGTGTGCCCACAAGATGTAGAGTGCATCCTCCTCAATATTTTGTCTAGCCACCTAACACCTCTCACCGAGAAAAGGCTGGTGCCATCCCTACCTGCAATGAAGTAGATAGAGACCGTTGGATAACAATATTTTACATTTTCCTTATCATTAATTTCCTATAATCATCAAGTGAAATAAGTTATAAATGAAATAAACAATGCTATTTACATGTTTGTACATTAAGTAATCATATATTGTGTATAATAAAAACCATTCTCTGTTCATAATGCATTCTTTTTGGTAACAATCAACTCTCTGTTGGTAACATTCAAATTGGATTAGTGGTTTGTCTCAAGTTCAAAGGTGATTTTTTATATATTTTTTTAAATTATTGACTCATCATGTTTAGAGCAAGATATTATAATAGTAGGAAAAACAATAATATGGTTATTAGGGATTTGGATTATTTGTTAATATTCAATTACAAAGACAGGGTGTCAGTTATTATAGCACTCAACCATCATGTGAAAGCCTCATGTTCAAATCCCTGTTGATTTCGGGTTTTATGTTTTATTTATTTTTTAATATTTATTATCATATTTACAGCAAGCTCTTTGAATATTTGGTAAAATATAAATACCATTATAGATTAAATTGGAGATCATATCATATTACATATAAACATCAGCATCTTTCTGTATCAAACACAAATATCTTTTCAACCCAATAAATGACTTTACAATACATTATTATTGATGTTTTTCAACTTAGGTAAGAGAGATTTAAAAATTTAGTCAAACATTTTATAAGCATTTTTTTATAAAAAGTTGTATCTTTGTGTATTTGAACTTTATCATCAAATTTTTTGCCTTTGCCATAACAATTAATAAAATGCAGAGTCAGACATTTGACCATGTAAGGGTATTTCTTGGAGAATCAATTTTTTGCAATCTATAAGGCTTTAAACATAACATAAAATATATACATAAGTCAAAATTCTAATCAAGGACCATTTAAAATAGATGACCAAATATACACAAGAAATGTTTTTGTGAAATACTAGAAAAAGGATAAACATTTTTTATATTTATATATTGTTACTATAATATAAATAGTTTTTAGAAATCATATTCATAAAACATTTATTTAGATTTAATTTTGAGAAATAATGTTTATCAGTATTTACTGTTATATGACAGGCATTCAGCTGGTTGGTTATATATAAGTCAGTCTAAAATAATTTATTACTGTTCATGGAAATGTGACTGAAAAGGTATGTTCTTGAGCTTTTATTTATTTATTATAGGAATAGAATCAATTAATATTTTCTTTATTCCTGTTAAAATTAAAATTTGCAAGAGATGGAAGTACTATTATTTTACACTATTGTTCTGCTGATTTGAGGAATTGGGAACTAATGACCCCCCCCCCCCATTAAATATTTCCAAAGTTTTCAAATTTCACATATTAAAATATTCCCATTTTGAAAAAAAGGACTCCTTCCCCTAACCTGTTAATTAATCACTGTTTGTATAAAGAAATGAGAAAAAAGTTGATATTTTCTAAGTAAACAATTCTTCTGTTTCTGAGCTACCAGGATATTGTCAGATCATTTGTAAATTTTTCTTTTCTTTCTTTTCACAGAAACAGAAGATACAGGATGTGATAACAAGCAGGAATCCCACAGCTCCACAGAGAATGGAATGAGTCCCCGTCATCGCAAACCTTCTTTGTCAGAACAGGAAAAAACATGGCGTGCTTCAGCTTATGACTATGAATCTCGGTTTTGTGGCCATTGTAATACAACTACAGACATCAAAGAAGCTAATTTCTTTGGGAGGTATGTAAAATATTTACTTTACTTTTTAAAAAGTTCAAAATTCTACAGAAAGGGCAGAAATTATTGTATTTTGATAATAAAGTTGGAAAAGAATGACCTTTACACTTCAGACAATTATAAAGATAACTTTTATCTTAACTGACATTTCACCTTTGCAATTTCTTCAGAGCTAGTACATGGAGAAGCTGTAAAGGTGAAATGTCAGTTAAAATAAAAGTTCTCTTATAAATTATCTGGAGTGTAAAGGTCATTTTTTTGTAACTGTATTATCAAAATGTGTAAATATCTCTAGTATGCATTAGAAATTCTGAGAGACAACACGAGGTGATTGTATGTCTAAAAGTAATTTCTCATTTTAATGTAACAGTTTTTACACCTTCAATAATTTGTTTTAGTGGTAGACAACCATAAAACACTATAAAATTCTTACCCTCATACACAGTTCCTGAGACTGTTTCTTTATTTATTGCTAAAATGTAGTAAACGAAAAATAAACGATGTTGATTAGAATTACAAAGATGATATTTATTTTTCAATCACCACATCAATTTGTAGGTCTAAATTACATTGGACGTTTTGGAAGATTCACTGAAATATGAGTACACATTGTAAATTGTGTTGTTCCAGCCTGTCTATTGAAATTATTATTTAATGATTTCAGATCTTTAGATACCTTTTGTAATTTTGGTTTAATATTTCATTTTGTTATTTAAGAAGTTTCTGTTCATAGAAAATAAATTTTATTCATAAAGTAATTATAAAATTGAGCTTTTAAACTAACCCTGTACTTTAAATTTTTAAATGTCTTTTGACTCAAGAAGTTTGAAAAACTTGTAGTAATTAATCTAAAATATGGAGTAAACAGAGAAATATAATTATAATTTACAATTACTTCAGATATTTCTTTGTTTTTGCTTGGATTATATTAACTAAACGAGGGATATTTATGGTTGTTTTCTGTGAGGTATGATATATTGATTTTTCTGTTCTATTAATTGGATCTTTTGTAGGTGTTCCTTTTACTATGCTTGGATGTTGTTTGTGATTTATTAGTCTTTAGTGCTTCCTTGTTCTGTAAATCCTTTCACTACAGGCCACTGCAATTTCCAGGGCTCCATAATGGAAATTTCACGTGCACAATAATACATACAGTAACTTTGAGATTTCTTAATTTATCCTCACAAAAATGTGTAAGATTTTGTTAAAGATTATATGTATCTTGTACACAAAGAATGACATTATTTTAATTAAGTGTTTTTACTAAAACTGTGTTATTTATCTATTGTAGTTATTTGCACTCAAATAGTGAATAGTGCAAGGTGATTTTCATTTTAAGTATAAAAATACTTCATCATACAGTTTTCATATTTCATTTGCATAACTTCTAGAATGTCCTAAATAAATATCAAAAGATTTTAAGGTAAATGTTTATGTTTTATTTTCTCTACCATATCACTAACTCTTGCTATTATCATCAGTGTACAGTGCAATTAAATGTTTATAATTTAGAAATAGAAATATGTACATACCTTTTTTACTCATTGTTGAATAATTTTAAAATATCTTCATTGCATCATGCGTGTAATTTTGTGTCTTTTCCTTTTCACATATAGTTAATTTTTAATTTTCCTTACCTGTCCTTTGCTTTTTATTACTCTTCTTGGCACAAGTCAACTGTCTCCTCAGGGCATAATTGCAGTATCTTTAATAAAGATGCACAAGCTTTCTGCAAAATAATTTTCCCCCTCGCACAAGATCTTAAGCCTTGAGAACTGACACAAAGTATGATGTGTATTTTCAAAATCTTTAAACCATTCAATTATGCATTTTAAAACATAAATAATACATAACTAACTGAGACATAAAAGTAAAACCTAAATACAATTTAACTTTTTCTCTAACAAATTTAGCTTAGAAACAACCATAAGTGCTATTGTTGATTAAGCAGCCAACAATAGTACAGGCAGTTGCATCTACTGCATGCCAATTTCAAAATAACTGTTGTTTGATTATAGCATAAAATAAGCTCTTTCTAATGAGCTTATACATGTATATGTAACCTCTACATGTATGCTATAAAGCTCAAGCAAATGTATAGAAGGTGGACATGGCACCTGTCAGAGGTTGACAAAATTTATTACTTGTTTCTACTCCATTTAGCCAGAGAACTTTGAATAGGACAAGTAAACATACTTAATGTCTAGACATATATCTACATGACTGGAGTTATCATAAACAAGATTGAAAGTGCGAAAGTTGAGATTTTTCATAGCTTATGGGTCATGTGACAAAAAATTGAAGTTTTAAGTAGTTTTTAAAGTTCTCTTTTGAAATAAAGAACTTAAAACATAGATAAGATAAAACATTGGATCGTAACATACATTATAATGTTAATTTCATTCACATACATTGATAGTAAAGGTCTTTAATTAAATTTTGAATGTAACTCAGTGACTTGTATAGAAAAGTGTTTAAAGGGGTACCCATTGTTGTTGTTACCTTGTTCTTTTAGCAAGATCTGTTGTTGCTTTAACCAGACATATTACTTGTGGATGTTGTTTGCACTCAATTAATTGTTGGTGTTTTCTTGTTCTTTTGTTGTTTTAACCACATATTGTACTTGTGGATTTTATATGTGGTTGTTTAATTAGCCCTTTTTCTGTTTTGTTAGCCATTTCTGTTAAAAGTGTTTCATTAACTAAGCATGGTACATAAGGAATTTTGCATGTTCAGTTAGTACTAATAATTATATTAGTTACTGGTGTTTACTTTTAACTAGGCATGTTTCTTGTTATTTGTTTTTGTAGACTTCACCTGTTAGTTATTAATTCTTTCTGTCTAATTAGCTGGAACTATAGATGGTTAGATGTTCACCATAATTTATTACATTATTCTTTTATTTTATTTCATCAGCTAAAACAATACACGTATAGATATTCTTAGTATTCTGTAGTTATCTTCTTAATTTGTAGATACTCTGAATTCCATTAGATGGACATGCAAATTTGTGTATATTTTTTGTATTTTGTTAGCTAAATCTGTAGAAATTTTTATGTTCTGTTACCTAGGTCAGTGGTATTCAGTGTGGGCCATGCCATGTTTCTAACGAGCCATAGTAAATTATGAATGGGCCACCAAAACTTCACTGCCCAAATAAAATTTTTAAAATTGAATCAAAGGTTCCCTTCTCCCCATATCCCCCACAGCTCAGGAGTCAAGTTACCAGATGCGACTAGTACTCGATTAACAATCAAAATGTTTGTCTGGTATCTGTGAATGTTTTCGATTGATTCGCAAGAGCAGCAGAGTGATATAACACCCCAAGCTAGATTCAAATGTGACAAACATTATTTCTGGATAAGTAGTGAAATAGCTAATAAGTTTCCACAGCTCTGGGAGAAGGCAAAGTTGTATTTTATCGCATTTCCCACATCTTATCTGGTTTTAGTCGGGTGACTTAATTGCTTTCAAAAATACGTAACTGCCTCGATGTTGTGAAGAGAGGTGATCTTCGCTTATCATTGACCACACTGCAAAAACTTTCAAGTGTTCATCAGGCCCAAGGATCACACTGAATAAAATGTCAATGATTAACAGAATAATTTTTACTTGTATAAGTAAACAGTATGTTATAAACAAAATATTTAAAAACAATACAATATTGTAAAAATAATATTATAAATATATTTAAATCAACAGTGTGGAAATAAAGTAACTTTTTCCTAAGTAACAGTGTCTATGAAGGGTGGGGCCACAGAGATAAATCAAACTCAAAAGGGAGCCACGAACAAAAAAAAAGGTTGAGAAACACTGACCTAGGTGATCAATTCACACACACAAGCTAAAATTTGTTTAACATTGAAAACCTAAAATCAATACAAAAAAACAAACGTTTAAACATTAAAGACCATTCTTCAACATGCTTTATCTCCACTTAAATTTTTTGTGATTTCATATTATTTACATTTAAAACTGAGTTTATTATGTTAGTCAATTAAAAGAATACTAATGATAACAAAGATACTAAACTTCATATTCAAAATATTTCCCTTTAAGTAACACATTTCCTTTATTTTTCTAAGAAATATCCACAGTTTGTTTCTCTTAAACATTCCACAGTCATGGACAGTACATCTTAGCTGGGTCAGATGATGGATCTTTCTTCATATGGGACAGAGAAACTACTAACATTGTCCGTGTCTTAAGAGGAGATGATTCTATTGTCAACTGTTTGCAACCTCATCCAAGTCATTGTCTTTTAGCAACTAGTGGTATAGAGTTTGTGGTTCGACTCTGGAGCCCACGTCCTGAAGTAAGAGGTTTTAAAGTATTTCTACTAGGTTTTAATTTGTTAGCTTTTGTGACTTTCTCTATAACAAGTAATATCATAGTTGGCCTATCAACACACACTATAAACATATTTTTGAGGCTTTTCTTGTGAAGTTAAATATAAATAATTTAGAAAGTTGGTAGAAAAAAACATGTTAAACATGCATAACATTAGGGTGCTAATCCTTGACATACAGAGAGATATTTACCAAAGTGAGTAAAAAATTTTAAATTATTAAGAACTTCTGATGAAAAGCTACAATACAGTAAGAAACTAATCTTATATAATAAGCTAACTAGACCTACTTATATCATAAAACCTGAAATAATTAAAGTGCATTGACTCATGAGTTGGGTACTCCCTCGCTATTGAAACTGCTTTCAGCTATAGTCCTAATTGTATCTAACAAAGATTATATGAAGGTATAATCTTAGACACTCAGACAGTTAGTGTGTAAAAACATACTAAATAGGGAAAATAGAATGTTAAATTATTGTCACCCAAAAGTTTAATAAATTTGGTAAAACAAATATTAGACTTGTGTAAAATAAAAGCCCAGTTATTCCCATATAGTGTTAACAAAATGGTTAAAGAGATGCTAAAAAAGATTTTACCTAGAATTCTAATTCTTGTCATATGTTGAATTAGCAGAATGGGTAAAACTATGTTAAACATAAATAACACAGACAGCTAACAAAGTATTTAAATAAATATTAAACATAAAGTACATGTAAAGGTTAAATTCATGTTATAAGGAGGTATTAAATTGGGAAAATCATGTTAAACATAGATAAAATCACTTGTATAATTCTTGTCACAATTTTTTATCAAAATGGATTAAGCCATGTTCATGTCGATAACAGTAGGATCTAACATTTGTCACTGAGACAAATATAAAAGTGGCTAAGATATTTTTCTATAATATGAAAGATAAATCATTACCTCTAAACCTCATCACAGAGTATTATCAAAGTGGATGAATGCTGTTAACAGAGAAAAAATTAATTTCTAATTCATATGATCTAAAGGATTAGCAAAATGGGTCAAGATATATCAAGCATACATATAACATAAGTCTAATCCTTTTCAGCACAGAGTTAAAGTTGGAAAGGATTTATTAAATTTATACAACATGAGGTTCTACTCCTTGTTACACATAGTTATCAATATGCATGAAGACGTATTAATATAGGTAACATTAAGGTATAATATACATAAAATAAAAAGCTTTTTTCCTAGAGCATTAACAGATTGTATAAAGGCATTGTAACATATAGAAAATGAGTTTCTGATCTTTCCGCACACAAATTCAATAAAGTGGGTAGAGACATGTTAGACATTTAATATCAAGCTTTTATTTTTCTCACCAAAAAAGTTATCAAAGTGAATTAAGACATAGTCATAGAGGTAATATGAAGGTTTAATCTTAGAATTTGGAGAGTAAACAGTAAAATAAAGGTTACCAAATTGGATAAAGATATCCTCATATAGCTTATGTAATGTGAAGGTTTATTCTTTGTCACATAGATTGAAATAAAAGTCTGACTCATCACAAACATAGTTGTCAAAGTGGATAAATTTACATTCACATAGATAACACTAAGGTCTATCCTTTATCACTGAGACAGTTAAAAAAAAGTGGGTAAAGACATTAATAACTATAAAAACAAGTTTATCCATTGTCACAGAGGTGATTCACATGCTGAATATATGTAAAATATAGTTCTACATATTGTCACACATAACATTAAAGTGGGTAAATGTTTGTTAACAGAGACAACCAGAATATCTGATCCAAGTCACCCAAAGGGTTAGTTAAGTGGGTTAAGGCTCGTTAGCTTATATGGCATTGGAAATAATTATGGAAATGGTGAGTAAAAATGGTATAAACAGAAAACACTAAGAGAATGCCACTCCTTCATTGTGTGCAAATGAACTGCACCAGAGTACTCTCACATGAACAGTTTATATTATGACCGATCATCCAACCAACCAGAAATGTTACACCAGAGTAAAGCCTGTAAAAGTACAGGCAGTCATACTATGGAAAGTTCTAGTAGTTTGAATCTAGTTTTGGCTTCAAGGATTGAAAAACTGCAGCAAGACTTTGAAAAGAGTTTATGAAACTGTTACTGTTAATAATAGGAGTGGTAGATATAAAAGAAAAGTAAACTCGCCAAAAGAGATGTTAAGTATCTCGGGGTATGTTCCTTATGAGACAGACAATGTTCAAGTCTTGCCAAGGACTTTGCTGTAAATACAAGTCAGAAAGTTATCTCAAGAACTGTGAGATCCATATTAGCATGAAATTGTCTCAGTGGATGTTTAGTTACTTGAAAACTACTGCTGGGAAAAATATAACCAAACTGAAAGTTTAAAATGGAATGAGCACAGCTAGAAACATTTGCTCTTTACAGATTAATCTAAGTTTGAGTCCTTTGTCAGCAACCAACAGCAGTTTGCAGGGCCATCGAGAGTGGCGGTGGGCCCCCAGCGGGATCCAGGAGCTGAGCTCCTGATGGGAGACCAAGAGGGAAGCTCTAGACTTTTAGTAATTTTAGCAATATTTTAAGTCTTAATGGCACTAAGTTACGGCTTAAAGTGCCGATTTCCTTTGTGAAATTTTTCGTGGACAAAGGCCTTTAACAATCAACAATATCATTTTGAGAAAAGAAAAAATGTAAACATCTGTTCATTTAATTGGATAATTTATTGAAAGTTTAAACACATTGTCAAGAATTACTTTAATGAGTTCAGTAATGCAGAATTGAGACCTAGATTTGCTCTAGATTTGAGACCTCTACATCGACTGTAGCATCTCTTGCCTGGATGATCTGTACGAGAATATTCAGCCACATTGATGACATAAGGATGCAAATGAAGGATGACACGTATCTGATTACACCATTGACTTCATTAATGGTTTTTGGCGTGATGTTGAGAGACAGAAGTTTCTTTAGCATGAGTCATAGTTCAGCAAGATGTGCTGCAAATGGTCTCGCACTTGCCTCTCGGTCTGTCCAATGAGTACCTGACAAATTGTGGATGGCTTTGCCCACATACTCCTTGAGAATAGCCCAGCGCTGAGGACTGGAAGAAAACAAATTGTAAACTGTTTGCACTACTCCAAAAAGTATAACTGCCTTCGTGCAACATGATGCAGAATCTACTCTACATAAGTTTAGTGAATGGCAGGCACATGGAGAATAAATGCACAGTGGATTAACAGCAAATATGTGCTGTTGGGTACCATTGTACTTGCCAGACATGTTGGGAGCGTTATCATAACCCTGTCCATGACAATCTTTAATAGGTATCCCAAAATGCTTGAGTGTTTCCATAATCAGGCTTGCTAATTCAGCCCCTGTCTTCTTACAACAATCAAT